CCGCAATTGGCATTCTTGCAGTACCAGTTTCTAATCCAAGGTCTTGCGGGACCGTTGTTTTCTCTATACCACGAAGGCCGACATACCGGTACACCATTCTTTGTAACAAAAGCTCCCAGTGCGGATAGAGGGAGTTATGGATCATTTCTATGTGTTCCAATTCAAATTCCAATGGGGAGTACTGAAAGATATTCGATTCTCAGCTCCAAAATACATCCAGTCGATACCCAACTAGATAGTGCAGAAGCCATGGCGGATTCCCGAAGGTCAATATTGTAAGCATACGGAGGTAGAATGTTGTAGGCTCTTGAGTCGGACGGAATCTTAAACTCCATTATTGTTCGGAGTGATCAAAGAAACATTTCGAAGCGCCGCAGCATTGTTGTATGATTCCAGATTCCAGAATCTATCTCTTTTCAATGGGGCCCGTGCCAGGGGGTTCAAGATCCCCCAGGTAGTCCGAATTTTATGGAGTGGGTTGGAATTTCATCAATTTTCAAAGTGCGTCATTGAATTATTTGGACGTCACGCTGTGAACAGTGGTCTATCAACGGCTACGTCAGCTCGTTTGTCCTTCGCTCGGATTGGGAGGGGTATGTAACCCTAATCTGCTCGTTCAATAGTCACTTTGTTCTTCGCTCCGTCCACCTCTCCCACTACGATTCATTTCGCAACGCGCACCGACCGGAATGTGCTTTTCACGTTGGAGAGCCGTTATTGTTATATGCAAAAGGACGCAATAGCCAGCATTTTAAAACGTTTTTCCAGAACGCGATTTCATATGTATCGGTTGCGTCTCTCGTCTTTTTAAAATTCAGGCTTTCACTAATAGACGCGTTCTCGAGAATCGTATACCTGACCTGACCCTCCGTAGCAGTCGCATCAAGGCAGAGTCAAATCCACTCTTTCTAACGACGGCACGGCCAAGAATCGTTTGACGTAAAGTCGCATCTTTGATACGAAGAAGCACATCGAACGACAACGCAAAAGGCCTCTTTCCAGAGAATTCCCCCATCAATAACGCCGTACGATAGTATCTATACGAACACCAAACACAACAACGACTGAATCAATCACCCAACAACACACAACTTGTCGGCGTTTCATTCACTCATTATTATTCAGTCAGTCAAGGAAACAATCACAACAGCGAGAAGTTCCGAAAACAATATCCTCGTCAGAAGCTTTCTCCTTATTCTTTTCTTCAACCTTCAATTTTCTCTCACAGCAGCAGATCGAATCTTTTCGAGACAACACACTTGCACAATGTCGAATCGTGAATCTATGCTCGTTCCAGAGGCCACTGAATGTGACTACCTTCCCGACGTCTTGACCATCTTTGTGGTTGGAGCATCAGGTGATTTGGCCAAGAAAAAGACATATCCGTCACTGTTTGATTTGCATCGTCATGGATTCTTAATTTCCGACAAGACCATCATCTGCGGTTACGCTCGGTCTCCTAAATCAGATGAAGATTTCAGGGACCAGCTAATGCCTTACCTTAAAGATGGGACGGAGGAAGAAAAGAAAGAATTTTTGGATCTCTGCATTTACCGCAAGGGTGCCTACGATTCCACCGACGATGTGGCATCTGTATTTGAAGAGTTAAAAGAGAAGGAGGCCGAGCTGGGAGAAGGCGGCAAGGTCAACCGTCTCTTTTACTTTGCGATTCCACCGACTGTCTTTGTTCCCATCGGAAAGAGTATCAAAGAGGCTGTGATTGACCGAGCTGGAGAGTCGGTTGGATGGTCCCGTCTGATTGTGGAAAAACCATTTGGCAAGGATTCTGAATCCTTTCAAGAGCTTTCGAGCGACATGAAAGCCTTGTATTCGGAAGATTACATTTATCGCATTGACCACTATTTGGGTAAGCCAGTGAGAAGTTGAAAGCATTCTATGTTTGGGTTTTGATTACTCGTTCTCACCATCCCTCTCTTTCGTGTGGATTACTCAAGGCAAGGAAATGGTCCAGAACTTGCTCATTCTGCGATTCTCAAACGCCATTTTTGAACCGCTTTGGAATCGCAATCATGTCAAGAGCGTGACAATTACATTCAAGGAGAACTTTGGGACCAAGGGACGAGGTGGATACTTTGATTCATATGGTATCATTCGCGATGTCATTCAGAATCACTTGCTCCAAGTTATGAGTCTAGTCGCTATGGAACCTCCCGTGAAAGTGACCGGCGAAGGTTCTGCAAATTACATTCGTGACGAAAAGGTAAAGGTTCTAAATTGTATCGATCCCGTCAAATTGGAAGACTGTGTGTTGGGACAGTACCTTGCCGCTCCCGATGGATCCGAAGTCGCCTACACTGAAGATGACACGGTTCCTGACGACAGTGTGACGCCAACCTTTGCCACCATTGTCTTGTGGATCAAGAATCCTAGATGGGACGGAGTTCCATTTATCATCAAAGCAGGAAAGGCCTTGAATGAACGAAAGGCTGATATCCGCGTCCAATTCAAGAATGCCCCTGGTTCCGGAAATTTATTTGATGGGCAAACTATCACTGAAAACGAATTGGTGATGCGACTTCAACCCGATGAGGCTGTGTATATCAAGACCAATGTCAAGAAGCCTGGTCTAGCCACCAAGCCCATCATGTCCGAATTGGATCTGAGCTACAAGGAGCGATATGATGTGGAACTTTTTGACGCCTACACTCGTCTCATACTGGAAGTCATTCGTGGACGCCAAGCTACCTTTGTGAGAGACGACGAACTAAAGGCATCTTGGGACATTTTCACACCCCTGTTGCACCAAATCGATGACGGCAAAGTCAATCCAATCCTTTACGAGTATGGCAGCCGCGGGCCTCCCGAATCCGATCAGTTGACAGAAAGAGTTGGGTACCATTATCATGGTGGAAACTACACATGGGAGAAGAACGAAACAATTGGAGAGCAAGAAATCTAAATGTGAGAATGCTTATATCCTCTCATGCTAGTCCTAGTCCTAGTCCTAGTCCTAGTCCTAGTCCTAGTCCTAGACCTAGTCCTAGACCTAGTCTTAGTCCTAGTCCTAGTCCTAGTCCTAGTCCTAGTCCTAGTCCTAGTCCTAGTCCTAGTCCTAGTCCTAGTCCTAGTCCTAGTCCTAGTCCTAGTCCTAGTCGATTCTTTATTGATCGCCAACATTAATTTGTTCGCATTTTTGTCCCGCCTGGCACTTGATCCTTTCATTTACCAACCACCAAAGTGACCAAGTTGATTGGTACCGTGTAGTGTGTGGGCTACAAAAATCGACTGAATCGACAGAAAATGTCAAAATGTCAAAATGTCTCAATGAAACAGATAGTGTCTCAATGAAACAGTATAGGTCGATTGTGACAATTTGCATAATTATAGTTGCTTAGGGTGTTGTATTGCATCAATACACTTGTGAATGTTGTTCCATGGTGGTTGGTACCTGGAAGTGTTGATATGATGAGTTATTATTGCTTATACACGCATATACCGGTAGACGAAGATATCGAGCAACGTGTATTAGGTTAGAATCCAGAATCTGGAATATTACGCGACAGCAAAGATCATTATTCGGCATCGTACCCCGGATTTTTGCGTTAGCCACGACTAAACGGTATTATGCAATGCAACGCTTGGAATAACTTACATGGCAGACATCGGTAATCCTGGTTGCGAGTCAACTTATCCTTTCAAGATGGAAGCAGACGACCAGCGTATTTACTATCAACTTAGCGATGGTGAAAACAATCTTGGATTGGTACAGCGAGTAAGGCTTGAATACAATGATCATGGTTGCCGACTTGGGAGATGCCATACATGCCAAGCGAAAGCGACTGTTGCAAAACTGTGATGCAGAAGACCTTTGTATCTATGGAAAAGGCACGACTATGGGAAATTATAGAAGCAAGGAACCACTTATGATTATTGTTCCACTCAATGACAAGGAAATCCAAGGAACATCCATTACGGATCCACTGCTTGTGGTTGTCCCAGTATTGAAACAGCAACGTGCTCGTTTGAGCACTATTGAAAACAATGGTAAGCTGTGAAAGGAGAAACTACTGATTCCTTATTACCATATTATTCCATGCTTGTTGTTATATTATGCCACTCGCTTTTTAATATCATTATTGCTATATCATGAAGGTGGACTGCCTCCAATGACGCCAAGAGCGAGCACCACAAGAGCATTCGTTCCACCGTCCATGGGAAAAGACAAAGCAGACATTCATGTGGTTTCAGGTCCGCCATCTACCTCTGAAGGCAAAGAAGAAGGTTTAGCCTATGCATCGCTGGACGATAATACTCACATGCAATGCACCAGCCATCCTCTGTGTGTAGAACTTCTTGAAGTATTGGAGGAAGCAATTGCCAAGGAAAAGAACAGGAATATGGATGCCAAGTTCCGGCATGCTGCCAGCTACGTACATCAAGTGCGGAAATGGAGTGGGCAAGATGACAATTTGCCGAAAGGTGTCGCTAAGAATGAAAGGATTTACACGGGGGTGATGGCCACAGCGATATACTTGGTTCTGGAGGAGGGGTACACTGTGCTGCACCAAGGATGCATCGGAACTGGGTTTACGCACTCCGATCTCTCTTGTAGGTGTATATCAAAGACGTCACTGACAAGTCATGGCCGACCACACTTCTTGTGGGTGAGGGGAAGAACGGTGCCATTGAACTGCGAGCGGATACTAGGGGGCAGCTTGTCAACCAGCTTCTTTGCCATTGTGCAATCGATACAGAACACCTTGAAAAAGATATCAACGGACCGGTTCTTCTTCTTGCATTCAATTTGGAAACAGTTGAGATAGATTTGGCTTTCCCAACTACTTTTGGCGGGAAACTAGCTCAAGACAAGGTCGTTTCATTACAGGACAAGAACACCGACCAGAAGAAAGAGGCATTCTGGACTGTGCAAATAGTACGAATGAACATTGCTCCCATACAAAATTTGTCCATTATGCTTTGCTTCATTGCAAGAGGCTTGAAAAAGGTGGATGCTCAGCAATACAAAACAGCCCGTGTGCAAATGAAGATGCCAACTGCTAAGAGCGATTCATGGAGCTTCGGTAATGATATGGGTGATGTTTGTTATTATGGCAAAAATGTCACAATTCAACAACCCAAGTTCGTTTTCAAGGAATATTGCTACCATCTGCGACAAAAGGATGTTTTCATGTTGCCGCTCACAATTATTGCCAACAAAGACAAGAGACGGCCACCATCACAAACGCTCTTGAATTGTTTGGGAGAACCATAATATCCCTTCATCAAAGGGGCTTCAAACAAGCCACACAAAGATGGATGGGTACAGATATTGACACAGGTACAGGCGATGCATGGCCAAAATTTTGTTCATGGGGATCTGCTACCTTGTAACGTGATATTTACCAATGACGAAGGATGCAGTGACAAAGGATATGTGATAGACATTGACCTCACAAGAGAGGTACTTGGAAAAGGCGAAACATATGTCACGGGCTACAACTATTTTGACTTTGTTGCTTTTCGACACCCAGACGCAGTGGCGGGAAAGCAAATGGCCAAGGCACATGATATTCATTCCCTTTGTATGATGAGCAGATATTTTTTTAACATAAGAGACAATTGGCTTGATGAATGCAATATTGGTGAAATCATTGCTTGGTTTAGCAAGAATACGGAGTCAGCACAAAACGTTTGCGATAATAAACTGTTGGACAACGAAGCAAGTGGTGTCCCAGATCGACCATAATATGGTTCACCTACGTCTATCATAAACTATGAATTGAATGTGTCTACCGGGCACTGCCAGTACCAATGAAATAGCTCTGCTATATTATATATACCTCCACTGCTGCTTTTTACTTTTCTGCATAATACAATTTTGGTGTAAACAATTTACATCCAAAATGTACAGAATCCCAGCAGGAACTTCAAACATGTCCAAATTGCACTGAATTTGGTTTGTTTATAGATGAATCAGAATGACATGTCCAGTTATGTCATGGATTTGAAAATAAAGGGACAACAAATTGTAACAATGCTGATTTCAGGATTGTTTTCAATCTTGTCTAATAATGGGCACATGTTGTTCAAAAGATGAATGATTGATTTGTGGTAGTTATAAAACTGTGTAGAGAGTGAGTCTTTGGGATGACCAAAGGGAAGCTCAGAGTGCTCTCAACACAAGAAAACAAAGTGACAAACGGAACAACAGGTATGGGTAAGAATGACATTGTGCATGAGTAGGCTGATGGCGCCCAAAAATGGGGAAGCAGAAACCAACTATCATGAGCTCATTGACGGGCTGAGGGGAGCTGAAGAAAGTTGTGACCCATTGAGGATAGATGATGCCTTTGAAGACTTTGGGATGGGATCCCACAAATGGTGTTGTAACTCACACAAGTACAGAAAATAATTATAATAACTGAAACATTAATTGTTAGGATGCTACTCTATGTGAAATATTCAGCTGTAAAGGTCAAGTACTGTAGAGCAGTGAGTCAACAACAAGTTTGAACCATGTGAGGTGTCTTTACAGACACACAAGTTGCTCAAGTAATGTCTGTAAGCATTACTTCTCCCATGGCAAGGCAGGCTGAACTTTGGGCACATATAGGGGAAGCAGAAAAGATAGTCCGGAGGGTATGGCGTTGAGCCTGCAGAGAGCGGCGATAGTCCTTACGCTCCTGTCCAAGTATCTTTGGCCACTCTTCCTAATACAGGAGAAGGAGAACTATTATCATGGAAGTGTTGTACAGTCAATTGCAAATTTAGATTGCAGAATGTTTGTTCTGAGCGCTAAAGGAACTCACACTAGAGCACAGTCTGCTTATTTCTAACATTCAATCACAAATGGCAACAAAAAGAAAATATGTCAAGAACAACACTGCCTTATCTACAGAGGAGTGAGTGATTTGTTGACAAAGGAATGTTCTTCATCTGGTGGTGGAAGAGGACGTATGACTCCTCAGAAAGTCAACAACAATCCTAGTTCAAAGGTAATAAAAGATGAAAACAATGGCAAGACAAGATTGTCATTTGAAGATGCCTAGAAAAGACTGATTGACTATTTCCAAGCTTCTGGAATGAAGTGTTCAGAAGACATGGTAAAAATGATTCAAGATGGAAAGTCAATCAACTTTGATTCAATCACACCAAAGTTGGATGCTCTAGACCAAACGGAAGTTGTTGCAACAGAATAATAATAAATCTGATGCATTAATCATGTTAAAACTATCTCAAGTTTCTAGATTGCCGTTAACGGCTGTCATGGCCATTTACCATATGGAGGTGAGTCCAGTACTGTTGAACCAGGTTGAGGCATCCAATCCCAAGGAAGTTGCTCTATCAAATAGATGTATGTACCCTACCCATGGGTATATTATTCAAACGATCTTGCCACTCGAGGCGGCGTATTTTTTCTGTTGTTTTCTGTGTTTTTTGTGTGTGTGTTGTGCTGCCTGTATTGAAGCTTGATTGGGCCTTGTGTTCTTGCTCCCTTCTGCCATGAGTATATTGATCCAAATGAATGGAGAGCGTCTCATGAGCACAGTGTTCCAGAACATTGTGGTTGTTACAAGCATCAAAAGGCGGCTGGTTGTAGTCTAAGGAGAAGCAAAGGGTCAGAGCCAGTAGGTTGTGTCCTGGCATGGTGAAGCCGCAGATAAGTGGTGAATTGCCTGAATATAGGAGGGAAGAATGCCAACCTTTGAACATCCATAAAGGGAAATCAAATTGAGGCATCTGCCAATCGACAGGAGGATGAAGGAACCGATAGCAATTGCTGTGCAATAGGTCCTTGTTGCAAGGAGTCGGCACAGGAGAGGGCATCCAATTGGCAGAACATATTATCATCGTCAAAAGGGCCACATGCTCCCAAGGTCCAGCCGTCTCAGCAAGCCTTGATACCATACAAGGCGTTGCAGGGCTTCCATGCTTCCAAAGAGGGGCCTCATGTCTGTCAGCAATTCCATTCTTGCCACCAAAGGTAAAAAATGAGAGAAGCTGTTGGGCCATTTTATCAGGCTTCTGGAAAGGGATATCCTCCTCAGCATCTTGGAGAACCACCATTGGAGTGGACAGTGCGCTTGTGCTGGAGGCCTTTTCAGTCGCCATGTCACCGTCATCATCGAAAACTGTGTTGATGGGACCGCGAGCATCATCAGGAAAACCCAAGAAGGCTGCTGAAAATGGGCAAGATTGGACCA